CCAGAACCAGGACCAGGGACCAGGACCAGAATCAGAATCAGAATCAGAATCAGGACCAGACTATAAATTACTGTTTAAACAATGTTTTTTTTAATAATAATTTCTTTCTCATAAAAATCAGGTTAGTGAAAAAACAAATCAATAATTAGTTAAAATTCTGGACAAAGAGTGAATTTAAGGCCGTGAAAATACCTCGGTCCTCAGCTTCCTGTTCCTCTGCTCCAGCAGCTCACACGTCTGAAGAAGAAGAAGAAGAAGAGAAACGATGAACAAAGAAAATTTCAATCTGAATAAATGTGAAAAACAAAACAAAAAGGAGAAAAATGTTAAAAATAAATAAAAACGAATTCAGTCCAAACTTAATGTTAATTATGAATAAGTATAAATGTTAGCCTGATGCTAACTGTAAATACAGCTAATTATGTTTCTATGGTTTTATCTTTAAAGACTTTTATCTTTTTATATAAAATGATGAGTTGACTTCGTCCAATCATGTCCAGACTGAAGCCACGGGTGGGGGGACCAGGAACCTGGTGCAGCAGGTCTGCTCTCTGGGTCTGTCTGCTCCGACTCCTCTGAGCCGCCACTCGGTTCTTCTCTTTCCTCTGTGACCTTCGACCTCCATCCTGACACACACACACACACACACCTTAATGTATATTTAATATGAAGAAGCAGAGTTAAGGCCTTTGACCTTTGACCTCTGTTACCTGCACTGGCTGCCAGTGTTGGCTGCTGCTGCTCATGCTGCTGCTGCTCATGCTGCTGCTGCTGCTGCGACAGTGGAGCGTCTTCACTGACAGATGGTAGTTTTTACAAGAACAGAAGAGTTTCCTGTTTTCACTTCGTCTTCATCGTCGCTGCTGCTGCTGCTGTAGAAGAAGAAGAAGAGTGGCTTCCCTGAAGTCATGTGACCCACAGGCTTCAGTCCATACTTTGATGGAACCCACAGATGGAAATGTTTAATGTGATTTATGAAATCAAACACAGTTTCCACTTCCTGTTAGCCACACTTCCTTTTTATTTACATTAAAACAGTCTTTGTTTCCTGTCACCGAGGAGAAACTTCAGCTCAGGTTTGTTAAAAAAAAAAAAAAAAGGAATCCAGAGAAAATGTTTCCAGTGAGTTTGTGGTTTATAACTTTCTCCCATTCAGAAGTCCATAGAGAAAACCAGCGATTTTCTCTGTCAGAGACTCGGCAGTTGTTGAGTCCACACAGACTGACCACAGGAGGCAGCAGAGGACCAGCAGCTGCTGTGTCTCTGAGCGCTAACACCAGTGATTTTCCTAATGGACTTTGGTGAAGGTTGAATACGTCACTTCATAAATGTTGAGTCATTATTTGTTGCCACTATTTCCTGTTAACATTTGCAACCATGTGTTTACGAGTCTCTCCACAAGGGGGCACCACCTGTGTTAACCTCTACTTTAATCTCAGGTAAAAAGGTCATCTCTGGATGAATAACCACAGGTCAGTCTGCTGCGCTGCCCCCTACAGGACATCGTAGCAGCCCGTAGCCACAGCTTCCTCCACAGCGCTCCTCATCGGCCGCCCGCTCCTGGCCGCGGCCGCGCTCACACTGGGGGGCGTGGGGTCCGACTGGCCGAACACCTCCCTCTGGACCTCCAGAGTGGTCTGACTGGGCTTCATGTCCAGGACCTGAGCCAGTCCGTCCACCTGGTTCTGCAGAGTTCTGAAGGACTGAAGGACCAAAAACTGTTACTTTAGAAACAGAACCGTTAAAGACCAACGATAAAACTGTTCTCCTTCTACCTTTAGAACCTGGGCGGTCTGTCTGACTGACCCTGGAGCTGCTGCTGAAACATCAGCCATGACGGTCTCTGAACCACAGGACAGAGGAGAAGGTCAGAGGTCACAGAGAGAATCACATCTGGACATTCCCTCCAGCAGTCTGACAGACTCCACCTCAGTGAGGTCAGAACTTTCAAATGTGTCGTCCAGGAGAGAAGTAGTTCTTCCTGATTATATGAAAGCTACAGCAGCGTCTGCAGAAGTGAGTAGATTCAGTCTGGAGCCACAGAGGAAACGTCACCTGAACTTAGTTCTTTTTATCATCGGTGCCAGTGGCTGCAGAAGGACGGAGTACAGACGTGGATCAGACAGAACTTGGGTTTGTGTCACTCTAGAACCCAGACTGTTGATCCATCCTAAATATTTATGTGAAAGAAACTGCAGTAACACAAGTTAGCCGCAGGAGGCAGCAGTGTACCAGCCACTCATGTGTCCCTGACTGTGATGAGGTTTGGTCTGTGAGTCTGTCATTAACTACAGACGGTCTGCTGTGGTACTACGTTGTACTACGTTGTACGAGGTTGTACTACCTTGATCGGTGTCTCTGACAAACTCCTGAGGTTTGACTGTCACTTCATAAAGTTCCTGAAAGAAAAGGTCACAGTGAAGAACATGTACATTTTAAAATCATTTTTCATTTTCTCTCACTCACACACACACTCACACACACACCATGATTCTTCTCTCTGCCTTCAGGGAGTGGATGACGTGGGGCAGGATCTGTTTGGGGTGAGTACGACGTTTCCACGTGGTCTCTACGATGGTGTTGTCCAGGACACCCTCCACATCCAGGACCTCGTCGTCCTCTGACACACACACACACACACACACAGAGAGAAACACGTCATAATCGTGGACACAAATGTGAAGACTCGTTGTGCGACTCCTCGGTCAGTCACCGTGGTCAGGAGCCTCCTCCCAGGACAGGCCGTTCACCAGGACGTTCTCCTGCACAGCTGCCTCAAAGTTCTGAAAACAAAAAAAACACTTTAGCTGCAGTTTTGTTGTTCCTGTTTGTGCTAACTTGTAGCATTTTGACGTTTCTACTTTAAATGATCTTTTTCTCTCAAATTCTGTTCGGTTTTCTTTAAAAACGTCATAACGTAATCATCCAGTAGAGGGCAGTATAGCGCCGCTGGCAGCCGTGGAGAGTGATGAGACGGCTGTGACTGATGCCGAGGAACAAACGACAGAAAACAGTTCTAAGTTAAAGTCACTACAGAGAAGAAGCCAACAAAACTGTGAGCAAAAAAACCGAACCGTGGTTTGTAAATCGACGGTTCGGTTTTTTAACCACTTTTGTCTTTTGTTAAGTTTGACTCAGGGCGCCGTGTTAAGCGGATGTTAGCATTCCTGGGTGTTTCTCTTGTTTTGATATTTTGAACAAACACTCGTTAACATTCAACAGACTTGAACGGACTACAACAGTTGGGTCGAATCCCAGGTGGACCGGTCAACACCGGCCTCACTGCTGGAGTGTTACTGCAACGAGCTGCCGTGTTTCTGTTTGTTGTTGCCAAACGATTTCTCTCCTGCATTTGTTGTTAGAAACGTAGGAACCGGTTTGTGTTTTTTACGCCGTGAACGGAGCTGACGCCGGTCTTCACGGTGACACACTTCAACTCCCGTGGTTTTGTTTCTATAATGAAAAGCGTTGTTGTTGTCAGTTTTCTGAAACCCACCGACAGCAGCTCCTGCAGGAGCGCCCTCCTGGTTTCTTCTTCGACGTCCGTCACTCCGCGCAGCGCTGTTTTTAAAACCTCTTTATATTTTTCCATTTGTTCTGTGAGAAGTTTCTTCGACTTCACTTTGACTCTAAACTCCTCGTCTGTCTCACCAACGGACTCCTTTCTCCCCGAAGTGTCCATTTTTATTAACTTTACCGCCAACGGTGTTTGTATTACGGTAAACGGATGTGTTCGTCACTTCCTAGTCCTATCGTTAAATCGGTCCTCGCAGAAACAAGGCACCGGAACATGTTCCGTTCCACTGACGACACCACTCCGCTGAAAAAATAAATAAATTTTAAAAAACCGAATTATAGTCTTTATTGTCATTTTAACACAGGGATTGATGAGTATTAAGATGCCATTTTGTGCACTGACGCCATTTTGTATTCATGTCATTTTATGAAACAGACTGAAACTCACTGTGCAACTTGTTTTGACTGTGACCCATTCTGAGCTCTGCCCAGTAACAGGGTGTAAACATGCGAGTCATTGGTCGAGACCCATCCAAACTAGGTGGGGCAAAAGTATAAGTAAACACCCAGCTCCTGCGGGCAGCGAAGTGCAGACTACTGAGCCATTTTATAACGGCTGAATGTCTTCTTTTAATTAACTCATTGATTACTTGACAACATTCCTGGAAAACACGTGGCTTGGTGTCGTGGGCCACAACCGAGGTCCATGACAGGACACAACCAAACGTGACCTCTGCTTTTAACCCATCACCACAGCCACCAGGGGGCGGCCTTAGGCTGTGGCACTGCGAACCTTCCGGACCCAAGTCCGCTTCCTTAACCACTGAGCCACCCGTGTAGTTTTAGATGCGCTGTGACGTTTATTTGTGTTTTAAAACTTTTGGTTCATATTTGGTTTGTTGTCGATGGACTTCGGCTTCGTCGACCGCCACTGCCACCTGCTGGTGAACACATCAACAACTGATGATTATTATAATACGTTTTTTTTTAAAATTCCCTTCATTTATTTACTACATGTTTTATTTCGTCACTAAATATGTGTCGTAAAAACAATAAAAACGTTAAACAACAACAGCTACATGTTTGAAGTCTGTGACCTCACGTCCTGAAGTCTGTGACCTCACGTCCTGAAGTCTGTGACCTCACGTCCTGAAGTCTGTGACCTCACGTCCTGAAGTGACCTCACGTCCTGAAGGTGACCTCACGTCCTGAAGTCTGTGACCTCACGTCCTGAAGTCTGTGACCTCACGTCCTGAAGTCTTTGCCTGTTTGTGACCCTGTGACAGTGAGACGCCTCGCTGCTGCTTCCACTTGTCTTTAACAAAGTCAAGATTGTTGGGGGGGTGGGGGGGGGGGTCATTGCAGCTGTTCACACCAGGTGAGTTCTATCTGTAAGAGAAGACAAACAGGAAGTGTTAAAACCTATGGTACCACAGTCCAGGACATCAAGGTGCCACTGGTTCCACCAGCAGTAGTACCAGCAGTAGTACCAGCAGTAGTACCAGCAGTAGTACCAGCAGTAGTACCAGCAGTAGTACCAGCAGTAGTACCAGCAGTAGTACCAGCAGTAGTACCAGCAGTAGTACCAGCAGTAGTACCAGCAGTAGTACCAGCAGTAGTACCAGCAGTAGTACCAGCAGTAGTACCAGCAGTAGTACCAGCAGTAGTACCAGCAGTAGTACCAGCAGTAGTACCAGCAGTAGTACCAGCAGTAGTACCAGCAGTAGTACCAGCAGTAGTACCAGCAGTAGTACCAGCAGTAGTACCAGCAGTAGTACCAGCAGTAGTACCAGCAGTAGTACCAGCAGTAGTACCAGCAGTAGTACCAGCAGTAGTACCAGCAGTAGTACCAGCAGTAGTACCAGCAGTAGTACCAGCAGTAGTACCAGCAGTAGTACCAGCAGTAGTACCAGCAGTAGTACCAGCAGTAGTACCAGCAGTAGTACCAGCAGTAGTACCAGCAGTAGAGCTAGTACCAGCAGTAGTACCAGCAGTAGTACCAGCAGTAGTACCAGCAGTAGTACCAGCAGTAGTACCAGCAGTAGTACCAGCAGTAGTACCAGCAGTAGTACCAGCAGTAGTACCAGCAGTAGTACCAGCAGTAGTACCAGCAGTAGTACCAGCAGTAGTACCAGCAGTAGCCTCACTATTGTACCAAGGTTTCTGATTTCTGTACGTTTCTGTCGTTTAGATTTACATTCAAAACTGTGTATTTTTCGACGTCTTACACGTCTCCTGGAAGTGCCTCCTCTCTGGAAGTTCTCCTGGTCCTGGCCGCGGAGGCTCCGCCCTGGTGGTCCTGAGCTGTGCCCCCCCCCTCAGGGCAGCTGTCAGCTGAGAGCTGGACCTCAGGTGTGCGTGGAAGTGTCTCCTCTCAGTCCTGTCCCAGTCCTGCCGCGGCTTCACCTCCACCTGACACCAGGTCTCCCTGCTCAGGTTCAGGTCCACGACCCTCTGCTTTGTGGCTCCGGACATCTTTGGTCCCCGAACTGTGTGTGTGTGAGAGACGGAGGGGGGAGGGTGTCTTATAAATAATCCACGGTGGACCAGCAGGTGATGCTGTGGGACCATGACAACAGGAAACCTGAAGACGGGTCTCCACAGATCCTGTGTGTGGACAGACGGTCACTCTGACGGTCACTCTGACAGACGGTCACTCTGACAGACGGTCACTCTGACACGGAGCCCACCAGTGACCTCACACAGTCGGAGCTTGGACGCTGCCGGTCCTCTGCTGCCTCCTGTGGCCAGTTTGCCTCACTGTTGACAGAGGGTGAGTGCAGCTTCCTCTGCACTTTAATTGAGTTTATGAAAGTATCAGATTACAGGTCATGTGATGGTGTGTGACTATATGGATGGGTATGGAGTAAGAATTTGGCTGTGGCTGTGGGTGTGGCTGTGTCTGGTCATTTCTCCATCAGTCTTGAGCACACTAGAGTATAATATGAGAAGCAAACAGTTGCTTAAAGCGACAGTACCGCATGAAGCAATGATAATAAATTCAATTCTTCCAACATTTCCCTCCTGTTTATCATTGATGAATGCCTAATTCTCTGATCCTTATCTCATCTCATCTCATCTGATCTTATCTCATCTCATCTTATCTTATCTTATCTCATCTCATCTTATCTTATCTTATCCTCATCTCATCTCATCTCATCTTATCTTATGGCTCCCTAGGCTCGGTGTTCAATCCGTTCAATCCTTTGCCTTTATGAGGAGTCAATGCTCCTGTTTTAGTTTTATTTGAAATTGGTGGGAAGATTGAGTTACAGGTGTCAACAAAGTTGTGTCAGGTTTCGGGTGACACAACACCCACATGCTGTGGCCCACATTGTCCTGTAGGTGGTGTGGTGTGAATCTATGCCTCACTTGTTGGTCTTTGTTTCCTGAAAACAAAGAGTGCGTCAGACCTCCCCCTCCTCCCCCCTCCCCACCCCATATTCTCTTTAAAATAAGAGCCTGGGGGAGGATGGGGGAGGATGGGGGAGTCAGTGGTGATCTGATCCTCCTGAGAACAACATTAAGTAAAGATGGTATGAAACAAAACCTGGACTGAAGTGACCTGGTCTCACCTGGTCTCAGCTGGTCCCTGCAGTTCCTGGTGTGGTCTGGGTCAGACTGAGATTAGGATTACACCTCAGATTATTAGCACAGCAGATGGTTGGTTACTGTTACTGCTGCTAATGCTAATGCTAACATCTGACCATACACTGATGATACACTGTTTGGAGTAACCTCAGGTGGTACCAGTACTAGGTACAGGTAGTAGTACTGCAGTAATCTCCTGATCAACTTTACCATCATCACTTCCTGGATCCCACATGGGCTACACTCTGTTCTCTCTTCCCATTGGCTCCTGAGCGTCGGAAGGCGTGCGTGTCACTGTGAGAGACAGCGGAACAAAAGAGAGGGTGTGTGTGCGCGTGCGTGCGTGTGTGTGTGTGAGAGAGAGAGCTTCAGACTGAAGCAGAACCGTGGTCTTCATCCTGCTGCTCTTCATTTCATGTCACTCTTCTTCTTCTTTGTTTCTTCTTTGTTTCTTTCTTTAATTTCCGGTGTCTTTTCAGCCGCCGCCGCCCGTCGTTCTGACCTTCTTCACAGAAACTCTCCTGCGTCGCGTTTCCAGCTTCTGCCGCGCAGTTATTTACCGAAATAACGAAGGGTCCGAGTCTCGGCGCCGGTACCATGGTGGCCGGCGAGCTCGTGCTCACCGCCACCGCCGCACCTGACATCATCGTGAAGAACCGGAGCGATCCCGGAGAAGAGGCAGCGGTGGAGGAGGAAGCTGGTCGTCAGTCCGAGTCACTGTCCGTGGAAGACGAGACAGAGAGCGACGAGGGGGAAAAGAAGCCGAATGAGAGAGAGAAGATGCTGCCTGACGGAGGAGGAGGAGGAGAAGAAGAAGAAGCGGCGAAGCAGGAGGACAACATCCCGGAGACGCGTCTGTTCCTGCGCCGCTTCGCGGTTCTGGCCGTGTTCAGCCTGTACTCGCTGGTCAACGCCTTCCAGTGGATCCAGTACAGCATCATCGCCAACGTCTTCACGCAGTTCTATGACGTCACCAACGTTATGGTCGACTGGCTCTCCATCGTCTACATGCTCGCCTACGTGCCGCTCATCTTCCCGGCGACCTGGCTGCTGGACCGCCGCGGTCTGCGGCTGACCGCGCTCCTCGGCTCCGGCCTCAACTGCGCCGGCGCGTGGCTAAAGTGCGCCAGCGTCAGTCCGGACAGGTTCGGCGTCACCATGACGGCGCAGGTGGTCTGCTCCGTGGCTCAGGTCTTCATCCTCGGTCTGCCCTCCCGCATCGCCTCCGTGTGGTTCGGACCCAGTGAGGTGTCCACGGCGTGCGCCACAGCCGTACTCGGCAACCAGGTCAGCTGTTACACTCCACCGTATAGAAGAGAACCAGAACCAGCCTCAGAACTGTTTGGTACTGTTTGGTACTGAGACCACAGGAAATGAACTCAGAGAGAAATGAGTAATGCAAGAACCAAAGATGGCTAGCAGCTAGCTTAAAGTAGCTTAAAGTTAGCTCAAAATTCGCTTTGAATGAAACAAATAGAGACTTTATTTTAGCTACAGTAGTCAAAAAGTTCTGACGTGAAAATCTAAGACAAAACAAAAAGAGAAGCTACTTTGTTGGAGGTGCTGAAACATTAGGATTTGGCTAAAAGGTAGCCACAAAGCTAACACTGGGCAAATGTTATTTTATTTATAATACGTTAAAGGTTAGCCCCAGCGCTAACTTTAAATAGAGCTGGTGAAATTTGTTGACTTTCTCCAGGACCTGTTTTTTATCTAGCGGCTCATTCGCTCTCTCTCTCTCTCTCTCTCTCTCTTATACACCTGTGTTTGTCTTTGTCTCTCGCCCTCAGTTGGGCACAGCCATCGGCTTCCTGTTGCCTCCTGTCCTGGTTCCTAACACGCCCGACGACGTCGAACTGACGTCTCACAACATTAGCATCATGTTCTACGGCACGGCCGCGGCCTCCACCCTCCTGTTTGTCCTCACTGTTATAGGTATGGGCCACTGTGCATCATGGGAAATTGGTCAAATCACTGTGTCTGCCGTCATGTGTTCAGGACGTCCTAGTGGGCAGTACGCCTGTAGTACGCCTATAGTACATCTGTAGTATACATGTAGTACATCTGTAGTATACATGTAGTACATCTGTAGTACACATGTAGTACATCTGTAGTATACATGTAGTACATCTGTAGTATACATGTAGTACATCTGTAGTACGCCTATAGTACATCTGTAGTATACATGTACCACATCTGTAGTACACACGTAGTACACACCCACACACTCCTGGAGGATTAATTAAATCTGCCCTAAGTTGCCTCGGTACTGCTGCCCCGTGTGGTCAGTGTAGGGGATTTAAAACTAATGATGTAACAGAAAAATACTTCAGGAACCCTAGGACTCGTGCTCTTTATTAACTTTACTAAGTTAAGTACTAAGTTCTAACTGAGGAACCTTGGTCAACTGGTGACTGCCAGACTAACGCTGCCCCCTGTGGTCAGTTTGTGTGATCTTTTGTGTAAAGATAAGGCTAGCCTCAGGAACCCAGTAGGTACCGCAGGATCCAAACAGTACTACCTGGAGGGACTGGTTTGAGTCTTGTTGTTTTAACAACCTCCACGTGGGCCACACCGTCACCTAGCCCTGAGGCTAGCACTGTGTAAACATAGGCTGCTCCCAGTGGACAGTCCTGGTACTGTTTGTTCAAATGTAGTACTTTTTTTGGTCTTCAACCTCTGAACCAACTTTTGGACTTGGTTTTCTGTTTCCTGCTAATGTTCGTCACCTCCTGAACTGAACTTTATTAATCCTGGCTAACGACTTCCTGTTTTTCTGCAGTCATCAGGGATCGTCCGGCCCTCCCCCCCAGTCAGGCTCAGGCCGTGCTGCCGGACTCGCCTCCTGAAGATTATTCCTACAAACGGTCCATTGTCAACCTGATGAAGAACAAACCCTTCGTTCTGCTGCTCGTTAGCTACGGTAACCTTTAGCCGTCGATGACAGTTTGGAGTGACTGACGGAACTGTTGACAGGACAAACAGCTGGGCCCCAGGGCGGAACCCTGTGGAACACCATCTTTGAAACACTGCACAGTTTCCAGGCTGAACTAGCCCATTAGCCCATTTTTAGCTAACAAAAAGCTCCGATGTTTTCAATTGATTTTGTTTTTCTACATTTTATTCTATAATAATAATTAAATAATATTTTATAACAATCCTGGAGCTGCTCATGTTCCCAGGGTTAAGTCTAACACTGCTGCCCCTAGAGGGGGCGTTATCTGCTCTCTCTCTCTCACACACACACACACACACGGTGTCATCTGACCCCAGCTGGTGGTTGGTAGAACTGCAGCGGTTCCGCCTGACTCTTCTGTTCTGTCCTGATGTAACCAGTCGTTGCAGATAAAAAGTGAGAGGCGAAGGCTTGGTGTCTGCTCACAGCCAATCAGAGCTGCACACACACACACACACATTCCTTGGTGTTAAGACACAGTCTGATGAACAGAACGACCTTCACTCAACACCATAAACAGTTCCAGTCCTGTCCTCGTGCTCACACAGTCACACAGACAAATCATGACCAAATCCTTTGATCCTTTTCAAAAGAAGATCAGAAACAGGAAGTGGAAACAGTTCCACTGGAGAACACTGTTGGTTCTGTTCCAACACCTGAACGTCTCTTAGCCTACAGGGACCTGACGTCTGGGTTTAATAGTGGGTTTTAGGAGCACACTGCCACCTACTGGACTGGAGTGTGTAGTGTCATGGTCTGACCAGTGACTCCTCACACCTCGATGAACCATTCAATGTTTATTTCAACTAATTTCTTACTGGATTCATAATGCATGGTCACATGGTCACATGGTCACATGGTCACATGGTCACATGACTAAGACCAGTCAGTGGTAACTGAGGGCTGAACTGTGAGCCACTGTGTGCAGGTATTCTGACTGGATCGTTCTACTCCATCTCAACCCTCCTCAACCAGATGATCATGACCTGCTACAAGGTACCCTGACTCTGAAGTACTGCAGTACTTTTTTTTTTTTTTACAGTCAACACACGGTGTCTAATGCCGTTGTTTTCTTGTCTTCTCAGAACCAGGAGTTGAACGCCGGGAGAATCGGTCTGACGCTGGTCGTTGCTGGTATGGTCGGCTCCATCCTCTGTGGCCTGTGGTTGGACCACACCAAGCAGTACAAGTACGTGGAGTACACACACACACACACACACACACAGAGGCCGGACTCCTGTGCTAGGTGGTAACACAGTACAGTATTTTCTAGAGCAGTATACACAAAAAGTACAAAAAGTATTTCTGATGAAATGTAGTAATACTCTAGTTTAATTGTACTAACAGATGTACTCCTGTTACGTTGAACACAATGCTGATGTACTGGCAGGGATTGAAGAAAGACACAAAGATCTTCTTCAACAGCTCTGATAATAGTTTCCTAGTGTTAATAACCATCTGCTGCCACCTAGTGGAAGAGGGTTTCAACATTGCTCGTTGACAAACAAAGAATAGTTATTTGCAGTAAATACTAGTTTTGGGACATGTAGTGGTTGGACGTCACTGGTCCAGAGTACTTCATAACAGAGTACTGCTGTTCTACAGGATGACCACACTCGTCGTCTACATCCTGTCCTTCCTGGGTATGGTGGTCTTCACCTTCACCCTGGACCTGGACAACATCCACCTGGTCTTCGTCACTGCTGGAGTCCTGGGGTAGGACACACACACACACACACACACACACACACACACATGCATTGAATGCAAAAGGTAGTCTAGTCCAGGTCTCAGTCTAGTCCATTCCCGGTCTAGTCCACGCCCGTTCTACTCCCGGTCTCAGTCTAGTCCATTCCCGGTCTAGTCCAGGACCCGGTCTAGTCCAGGCCCCGGTCTAGTCCAGTCCCGGTCTAGTCCCGGTCTCAGTCTAGTCCATTCCCGGTCTAGTCCATGTCCCAGTCTAGTCCAGGTACCAGTCTAGTCCAGTCCCAGTCTAGTCCAGGTCTCTGGCTAGGCCAGGTCCCGGTCTCGTCCACGTCTCAGTCTAGTCCATTCCCGGTCTAGTCCACGCCCGTTCTACTCCCGGTCTCAGTCTAGTCCATTCCCGGTCTAGTCCAGGCCCCGGTCTAGTCCAGGACCCAGTCTAGTCCAGTCCCAGCCTAGTCCAGGTCTCAGGCTAGTCCAGGTCTCAGGCTAGTCCAGGTCTCACAGGTTTGGTATTTCAGATTTGTCTGGGGGCGTGGCCTTGGCCTCAGCTGTTGAAACAGGTCTTCAATCCCTGGTCCTGGGACCAGTACTGGTCCCAGGACTCACTTTGTCAAAAGAGTTTGGTTTTGCTGACCGATGGTGTGACAGGTGTAACGGTCTGTAGACCACTGATGTCATTGACCAATGACAACAGTGCCCCCTGTGTGTCAGGTTCTTCATGACAGGGTACCTGCCTCTGGGCTTTGAGTTTGGGGTGGAGATCACGTACCCAGAGTCTGAGGGAACGTCTTCAGGTCTCCTCAACGCCTTTGCTCAGGTACGTTCACCAGGTCCTCAGGTGCTGCCCCCTGCTGGTCTAAAAACCTCAGGCAAAATCTCCAAATGTATTTCATGATGTATTTGATCATTCTGTCCCTGATGAGTGTGTGTGTGTGTGTGTGTGTGTGTGTGTGTGCGCAGATCTTTGGGATCGTCCTGACCCTGATTCAGGGTAAACTGACCAATCACAGTCATCTGGCTGGAAACCTGCTCCTCTGTGCTTGGATTCTGCTTGGAATTCTGTTGACAGGTGTGTGTGTGTGTGTGTGTGTGTGTGTATCCACTGTAGAAAGTCACATGATCACGTGTGTGTGTGTGTGTGTGTTCACTGTTTCAGCTTTGATCAAGTCTGAACTGAAGAGACACAACGTCAACGTAGGAGCAGGACACAGGACGCTGCTGGCCGTGAGTGGACCACACACACACACACACACACACACACACGTTCTTTATGTCCTGACGTCCACTCTCTGGCTCCTCCTGGTGTCCGTTCTTGGACTCCGTCCCCGTTCCCAGACCATAACTCTCCTCTGGACAAAGCACCAACACATCCATCACCTCCACCCCACGAGGACACCAGTGTCCTCCAGGACGGAGGGACACACCCAGCTGTGAATCTGGAACCAGAACTAAACAAAAGAAAAGATCAACTTCACTGAAGTCTCTCCTGATCCCAGATCAATCTCCTCAGTCATTGATCAGTCATTGATCAGTCATTGATCAGTTCTTGGTTTTTTTTTTTTCTCCCCAATTCCCGGTCCAATATTCCTGAGACTAGGATCAGACTGGGGGGGGCAGAGTCTGAGACTAGGGTCAGACTGGGGGGGTCAGAGTCTGGGACTAGGGTCAGACTGGGGGGGGCAGAGTCTGAGACTAGGATCAGACTGGGGGGGGCAGAGTCTGAGACTAGGATCAGACTGGGGGGGGCAGAGTCTGAGACTAGGATCAGACTGGGGGGGGCAGAGTCTGAGACTAGGATCAGACTGGGGGGGGCAGAGTCTGAGACTAGGGTCAGACTGGGGGGGTCAGAGTCTGGGACTAGGGTCAGACTGGGGGGGGCAGAGTCCATGGTCACACGTGTCCCTGGTACTAACTCAGCTCTGTGCTCTTCTCCTTCAGGTTCCTGATGACCCCCCCCCCGACGACCCTTCACACAACAAACCCAACGGGTTCAAACTGGATCCGTCCTTCAGCTTCTCCAGGGAAACCTCACTGTGACCCCGTGGAGGACCAGGTGTACCATGTGCAGTTGGATGGTCCTCCTGGTGAACTGTTCTGTCTGTTTTTCATGTCTGACATTTCATGACCGCTGTGACCCAAGGTCTGGACCAGTCCTCACTGGAACCATGGGCGGTTCACTGTCAAGTAGTACCAGGTACCAGGAGTCCAGGACTGACAGAGGTCCAAGGACCTGAAGACACAGACCTCTGGTCTGACCTGTCTTGGACTATTCTCCACTGGACTGTCTCTAGGTGGACACACAGGTGGACCTGGTGCAGTAGTTCCTAGTACTGACTATTCCTGGTGGCCCAAAGGAACAGGTTTGGGACGGACGACCCCCGTGTTCCTCTAAAGGTTTACCTCCTTCTCCTACTGGTCTAACCCAGTACCTGAGCCGTCAGTACTGCGTCTGGTACTGGTCTAACCCAGTACCAGAGCCGTCAGTACTGCGTCTGGTACTGGTCTCCAAAGGCTAACNNAACCCAGTACCTGAGCCGTCAGCACTGCGTCTGGTACTGGTCTAACCCCGAACCAGAGCCGTCAGTACTGCGTCTGGTACTGGTCTCCAAAGTCTAACACTGACTTTTCATGTTTGGACCATAAACGTAGACTGACCAGAACCAGACCTGGTTCTCAGCTCAGTACACAACATGAAAGTTGTAGTACTACTACAGATACTTTGTACTGTGTGTTGGCTGCATGACGTAGTCGTTTCCTCTCTAATATATTTGACATGTATAAGTACTGTACTTCATGGTACTTAGGGTACTAGTACCTGCCCTCGGTACACCCTGGTACTCCAACATTTCTTACTTCCTCTTTTTACCGCAGCACGTTTCCTCCTTAATTCCTGTGTGTCCCGGCCAATCTGATTGGATGACACAGCGTCTACATTTCTTTGATTGTTGAAACTGTGTTTAATCTGTCAATGGAAGTGCGCCCTCTGTAGGCAACTTCAGCAACAACAGTTTCTCTGTCTTCAGCGTAGATCCGTCCGTATGCAGATGATACCGCCGTCGTCTTTGTGTCCGATGTAGAAAAATAGAAACTGGTCGAGAACAGTGATTGGAGAACCCGACACACGTGACCTGACGGAGCCGTATTTAACCCCGTCACCTCCTCTGTGACGGTCGATAGTAGAACGATGACATCACCAGGTGAAACGTTAAAAAAAAATAAAGAGGAAGTTTAAAACTTTGTTATTGTTGTTTTTAAGATGATTTTCAACGTTCTGATCCTGGTTCAGTTCTTGGTTCTGTTCCTGGTTCTGATCCTGGTTCAGTTTCTGGTTCAGTTCTTGGTTCTGTTTCTGGTTCTGTTTTTGGTTCTGTTCCTGGTTCTGTTCCTGGTTCTGTTCCCAGTTCTGGTTCAGTTCCCTGGTTCAGTTCTTGGTTCAGTTCCTGGTTCAGTTCTTGGTTCTGTTCCTGGTTCTGTTTCTGGTTCTTGGTTCTGGTTCTGTTCTCTTGAAATAAACCCTAGTTTTTTTCCATAGTAACGAACGCCGTTGTTGTGTTGATTTGTTAACGGACCTAAACGTGTGTCACTGACTTCCTGTGTTTGGACAGGGTGTGAACACACTTCCTGTGACCAACAGTACCAAGGTCAGGGGTCGTGTGTGACTAGTTTTTGAAATTGAAATGGGGGGGGGGGGGGGGGGGGGGGTGTGAACATGATTGCACAATTTTCCTTCATGTCAAGTTATTTTAATCATTGTTAGGCTGATGTATTTCCTGAGAAAAGTAGCAGTGACATCATCACCCCCCC